TTTCTTCCAAATCACTAATACCAATGTAAAATAGGACAATACATACTTATTTTAGAAAAGGCCCATGTATGTGTTATTTAACAGAACATCACAAAATATTCGATTTTATATCACGATCATAATGTTTCCAGTTTATTTTAAAAACACTTTCAAACATCTGAAGTCTATCCAAATCTCATAAACTTCGGATCAAAACTAACACAAGCACTCGATTGCTGATTATTATTGCTTGTCGCTGCCAATTCAGGCATTTATATAATTTGAACGACGCGTGCTGGTGTTTATTTTGACGGGGTGTAAATGAAATATGAACACACCATAGTTATCTGATGTCAAACTGAAAAACAAGTAAATTCATTTTAGTCCATGTACGATGCAGGTTGGTTAAATCCTTCTTCGACTCACATATATCGTACCCCATTGGGGAATTCAAGGATCGCCGCCTGGGGAACATAATCTAGCATTCCTTATTTTTCAATGGTTTTTAAACGCTTCGAAATATACATTTCAGTTGTCAAAAGCACTACAAAACTTACAGAATACACTTTTAATTGTGTTCCAAAAGGAAAATAATTGGAAAATCTGCAAGAATGAAAGATGTTGTGGAAAAAAAGGAAATCAAAAATTATAAAACCATACAGAACAAAATACCTGCCGTTCACGAAAGTGTTCTAGCTTTGATTTCTTGAATATTAATTTGCCAAGTAACTACTTCACAGTTGCACAGTTAAAAAATACGAATCCTGCTTGCTAATCAGCAGCGGAACGCTTATGAGACAAAGTTCCTCAACTCCCTCCCATATGGAACGAAAGGTCAACTTCCTGCAGGAGTTGCTCATCAAGTCACCGGTGGCGCGATGTCCGGTGTTATATTAGAGTTGCGAAGGTGAGGCGGACATGGGAGTTTAATACTTCAACCGTTATCAGAACTTTCCCGGCGACGGGAGTGACAACACGGTCGCCAGCCGCTCGTCCGTATGATGAATGAAGTTGCGAATGGCAGATGGCGGACAACTTACCGGCTTGCTCAACCAGTGGCGCAACTAAAAAAGAAATTATTTGAATCTTTTACCTCATCAGTGTTCTGAAAGTTGTCTCTTTTATAGTAAGCGACGAGTACTTTCCAAATTTTCACTTTGCTACCGCTTTTGATATCTCAATTGTGGTCCTATTTACGGTGGAAATAACTTAGTTTTGATTTCGTATAGACTTTGTAGTAGTGGTAGTAGTAGTTGTATTTACTTTGTGAAAGATACATGAAATGTGTATAGGCACAACAAAGGGTTGATAAATAAATTGCACGTCTAACGTAACAAGTACCCACAAATAATTGATATACATGTATTTTGACAGTAAAAACACTCACGTAATAGACAAAAACCTAAAAATATATAGTAAAGCAGATAATAAATGTATGTCCTTGTATTAATATTTAATATTGCTGTACTTTGATTGACCTAGCTTGTTGTACATTTTTATGCAGCTGTATAAGGGGGAACATTTAAATTTAGAAGTGTTATGTGATAGAATTTGTAGAAGATCACGATGAATGGTGTTTTGTTTGTGTTGATTGATTGGGCAAACTGAGGCTCAAACCCCTCCCAGTGCATCTTACCACATTTTCATAGCTCCCCTCTCGTAGATGGTTGCCAATAGAATGATTGTAACATTAAATATATTATTTACTATAATTTTATTTTGAGGTTTATGTTCTACTTTTTAGTTCCGTTAGCTATAAAAGCATTTTTTTTTTAGTTTGTTAAACTATAATTTGTTTTTCATTTTTAGTTCGATTTATCAACTAGTTTTTTGTGGACTTGTGGTATTTAAATGTTTTACAAATCATTTCGTAATCTAATCATTGCATTTAAAGCTTCACTGTTGCACGTGGTTTTTCCTATTAACTTAGAGCAATCAGGTTCTTCAATCCAAATACCGTCTAAATATCTTACACGACTAAGTGCTACATAAGCTTGTCCAGCAGCAAACAGTCGCGAGTCTAGATAAATGACTGCATGATCGACTGTACAACCTTGCATTTTGTGGACAGTTGAAGCCCAACTCAGGATTGATGGCAACATTCGCAATGAACAAGGTGAGAATGCCCTACCTTGAAAAAGTATCTGCCTCCGTTGTGATGTGCCAAATGCCTGAACCCAGAAAGAGTAAGTCCAAAACTGCACGTATCGCAGACCGCGCGCTACACCCCTACAGAGGATGTATATTGTATAAGAGAATTTATCAATCCTGGCAGTCCCAATAAGGATAATGGAAAACTATTATCAAATTATTGCATTGTCATCGATCCATGACACATGTGGGAAGTTTCAAATTAATCAAGCTTCTGGCAATTGGTGAAAATTATGCTCAAAGATTCTGTTATGTACATACATACAGGCCAAGATAGTAAAAGCGTGTTGAAAAATAGTCTTGCCTGTATCGCCCAGCTAAGGATATTGTGGCTTTTGATAATGCATCATAGTACACCGTTTTTGGACCATCTTTGTCAATACAATTTTTTAGCTGGTTTAGGGCATAATAGGCGCTGGTTAGCTTAATAGACCCGTCATGGACCTATTTTGAAAAATAAATAGCTTCAGCGTATGAGAGCTGCGATGTATAGACTAGCTACTAGCTATAAACGACCGAAACATGCCATTTTGGGACGCTCAATCGAATATGGCCTTCGTAAACTTCTATTCAGAGTAGAAAAGTGGGGTTTTTAGGCATGGGCACCCACAAAGGGGGCAATGGGGGGTACATGCTCCTCTAGCTTCTGCTTGAGGAGTAAAATATTTTCCGACAAGTGGCGTTTGTGATTTTCTACTCTTAAAGTATCCTTACATAAAAATTACTTTTTAACCCATCACTTCAAATACCTAGCAGCTCTGCTTCAAGCTAATCGACTGGGCATATAAGCCTAAGCTGCCCCCGTCCGATTTTTGCGATATGGGCGCCCATGTTTTAGAAGATGTCGTAAAGCTGATAATAGCAGATCTACGCAAAAATATTTATTATCAAAGCAGCTATTACGCAACGTCTTTCTTGAAATACAGATGACTTCAAAAAATTCTATAGGTAAGAATCTTCCTAAAATGGCAACGACAGTGGAAAAAAGGCGAGAAGGCTAAATGGATACTCAAAAGCAGTACGTTGAGATCTTACTGAAGCTTTAGCATTTAAATGTTCTTAAAACATTACAGCTGAAACTACAAAATTATTGGACAAATTGACGTGTTTGCGTACCTTGAAATTCTTGAAAAGCCATTTTTGGCACCGCCTGCGCTGCTTTCAACAGTGGTTCGATTTTATTGGTTATTTTGTTGTTTTTAGAACTAGGTGTTGCATCGCAGCTAACATTTTTGTAAGGTAATATTTACTCTAGATCTATTAAACACAGCAAACAGTATTTATTTTAAGCCATCTTCTGAGCACAAGCTGACATCTGACTTATTGAAGGTGCTTCAAAAAACAGTGGTACCATCTCTAAAACCGTAAATAATCGGGCGAATTCTAAAATACCCCCCCCCCCTCTTACCGAAATACAGTGTGTTAAAGGTATATTTACGAAATAGAAACAATGCACAAAATCGACTAAGTGTAGATACGATTCAAAACTGTTTATAGGTAACACAGATAACTTAAGCGATACACGTTCAAATTCGGATTGCAAAAACTGGGATACGTTGCCCGCTACAGAAAAGAAAAAGGAAATGTTCAGGCTAATTGCTGTTTCGTAACCCTCATTGCATTCCTGGAAAGGATATTTTATTTATTCCACATAAGTCGCCAGTATGAACAAAATTTTGTAAAATGATTCACTCCTTCTGGAGAAAAACTGATATTGATACTTAGTAGAATCCTTGAATTTTCTTCTAAAACACCTGAATTTGTTCAAATGTAACAAGTTGAATTATTAGGGTTTGACATCGAAAATTGTATAAAGTGTATTTAAAAATACCGAATAACATGCTACTTGAACGATACTCATGTTCCATCCTCGATCAGCCTCATCAGTAGCATTAAGTTTTTCTTCCAATAGAACATTTTAGAATCATCATGACGACCCGTCCGTTTTTTCTACCCTTTGCACAACTTTGCTTATTCTCATAGCACGCTTTCAATCTACGCTTATGTAATAGACTAAAAGAAGCAAAACGTGATGGACAAACAAATAAGGCGTTCGGTAAATACAGTCGAGCTTTTTGCCGTCCACTATCTCACCGTCCGTCATGTGTGTACAGTGCGGTAATAAAAACACCATACCAATTCCGAGAATTACTCATCGCAAGAAACCATTCAAAGTCTCCAGGGCCAATTAACTGTGAAGCGAATATCTCCTGTTCCAGACGCACACATGCTGAATATAAAAAAGCTTCCAGCTTTTTTTGTTTGTGGACTTGGACATCGGTATACTGGGTGTGTCTCTGATTCAGTAGTTGGACATCTTTATTGCTGGTTCTATTACCTTTTATTTCTTGAGTTCAATATGTACGAAAGAGAAGCGCGACAAGTGTCTATCAACATACGTTAGAAAGAGATAGAAGCCGGCTGAAGAGCGAAGATCATCACCACATTGCCTAGCAACGGTGACGCAGAAGATCGTGTAATCTGCCGCGTTGCCAATATGTTACTCAAGAAAATGTTCGCACCTGTTTTTTGCAGTAAGTTAGATTACTGTCAAATCCACCAAGAAGGAGGTCTGTTCGAACATTTAATTTAATATTTAGTTTTAATCTTGATTAGAATTATTTCAATTTGGATGCGACTTAGGGTTTTAATATACTTTAGAATTTTCTTTGATTTCTACCGATGGCGATGAATTCAACACATTCTGAGTTATCGTCACATTTTTCGACAGCGAATACCATTACGCAATACAAATTGTCACTGCCTACTTGTTCGTAGGTGAAAACCATTTCGAAGCAGGACGACACTCCCCCAATGAGCGTTAAAGGGGTTTCGTACACAAGGCTACGCAAGTCTCCGATACTAATGTTGTATACTATATTAGTATCCAGTCGCGAGTGTCGAGTAGCGCACGGTCCGTACACACGACATTGAATCGCAAGACGCGAATTGCCTATTCAGCCACTATAGGCTAAACAGATCAAACTTTTACGAAAATGTCTGAAACAAGTGATGATGAAACTATAATTTTGTACTATTTTTATCGGAAATAAAGAAATCGTCGTAACAGAAGATACTGGGTTCATCCGTATATAGAGAGAAACATAAAGTGCAGACTGTTTGTAGCTGCAAAAGAATTACAACAAACAGATGCGAAATTCCTATCATTGTACAGGATGTCCAAAGAGAGGTATACACATTTAGTGGAGTTACTTGTTCCACATATACACCAGAGAGATACACACATGAGAGAGTGTGTGAGCGCAGAGGAAAGGATTCTAATAACAATCAGGTATGATTTCAATTTGTTTTATTAAATATTAACATTTCAAAGTAAGATTGAATTTTAATAATATATAACGGAACGGAACCCCTCAGAAGTCTGCACGAAATCTTAACTGCGTCATCAATTCTGAGTATAATTTACTTCACCTACAGTATTTTGGAGTAGTTGAATATATGTAGCTGCATTTACTCCATCGTTGGTTGTATATTCGATTATATCATTATTGGTTTCTATTGGTAATTCTATGTCAGTTGTTACCTGCGAGGACGATTTACTTGGGTGTTGTATTTCGGGTCCTACAAACGGAGATGTCTGCGAAGATAATATACTTGAAGTATTTGGTATATGAACTAAGGCCGGCGCCGGCGTTTGCTTAGATGAAGTGGTAGGTACATTCAGTATGTTATCTATCACATCTATAACTTGACGTTTGAATGATCTTATTTGTGTGGATGTCATAGAATTTAAGTCTGGCAGCAAACTTAACAAAAACATCTTGTTGGCGTTATTCTTTGTCGACTCGTCATTGACATTTGGCTTGCTCATTTTCGTTTTCAAATATTCATTGAAGAGTTCATCATTCTCATTTGTTCTATTCTTATGACGCTGAGAGGAACTACGCCAAGTTGAGACAGATAACGGGGTTGGAGTACGTTCAGTTTGTTGACTGGAGGATGCAGTAGGTGATGTCGGGGGCGGTGGTGAAGCCGAGGGCGATGGTGATAAGGAGGGCGGTGGTGATGCCGAGGGCGGTGGTGATGCGGTCGGTGTAGATGCTTGTGATTCATTGTCTTGATTAATCTTGTTGGCGTTATTCTTTGTCGACTCGTCATTGACATTTGGCTTGCTCATTTTCGTTTTCAAATATTCATTGAAGAGTTCATCATTCTCATTCGTTCTATTCTTATGACGCTGAGAGGAACTACGCCAAGTTGAGACAGATAACGGGGTTGGAGTACGTTCAGTTTGTTGACTGGAGGATGCAGTAGGTGATGTCGGGGGCGGTGGTGAAGCCGAGGGCGATGGTGATAAGGAGGGCGGTGGTGATGCCGAGGGCGGTGGTGATGCGGTCGGTGTAGATGCTTGTGATTCATTGTCTTGATTAATCGGATTAGGCAAACTGCCAGATGGAATTGCAGCAGATTTTATATAAGGAAGAGCAAACTGCATTGAATCTGTCAAATAGTATTTCTTTTTTGTTGATGATCCACTAGCAGCAGGTTTTAAGTTTCGTACGAATACAGAACGGAGGTTTTTCCATTTGTCTTTCGCTTGCAGTCCTGAAAGTAATAAAAATATGTCAAGCAACTGTTAAAATTGTTGTAATACTATGTACAAGATGTTAAATGAATAAGTATTAATACAACTTTTTTTAGGTATTTGGCAACTGGCGCAACATTCACATCGATTTCCTTATATTTTGCTCGAGGAGACTCTACAGTATCAAGAATAATTGGAGAAATAACAGCAATCATATGGGATGCCTTGAAAGACATTTATATGCCAACACCGGATAAAAATCAATGGAAAATAATAGCACAACGTTTTCATTTACTATGGAATTTGCCTAATTGTTTGGGTGCTCTAGATGGAAAGCACATAAGAATAGAAAAGCTACCAAACTCAGGATCGCTTAACTTCAACTACAAGTCGTATCATTCAATTGTTCTCATGGCATGCAGTGACGCTGATGGCCTCTTTATATACATCGAAACAGGATTTGCTGGCAGGAACAGTGATGGTGGTATATTTCGTGCTTCAGCAATCAAACATTTCATTGAAGGGGACAATCTTGATCTTCCTACTCCTTTACGATTACCCAATGATGATAACAACTACAAGTTTCCATTTTACTTTGTCGGAGATGAAGCGTTTCCGCTATTGCATTATTTGCTACGGCCATATCCACAAAGAGTACTTGATAATACGAAAAGAATATTTAACTATAGATTGAGTAGAGGAAGGAAGACTGTAGAATGCGCTTTTGGGATGATGACGGGAATGTTTCAGGTTCTAAGCACTGCGATAAGATGCCACGACAATATAAAGATTAATAATATTGTAAAATCAGTATGTATTTTACACAACTATGTTAGGAAAAGAGAAGGGCTTCCATATCGTGCGTATGAAGAAAATTCCAATAGTACACATGGTATAATACAACCTCAGCAAATTCAATTGAATGCGCAGTCTTCTCCAAAACTATTTAGCTAACTACTTTCTTAAACCTCAGGTAGGACTCCCATGGCAATATAATTGTATTGTATAAATTTTGTTAGTCTGTTTAAATAACAAAATTCTGTAAATGCAAATAAATATTTTACTGTACCACACACCATTAAGTACTGTAGCAAGTTCTATTTTCTAATTTTAACTATTAATTTAACATCAGATATTCCCTGTGTTCTGTTTATGGTTTAGTGGATACGGATATCTGGTACATTACTAGTTAGTAGCTAATCATGATCCTAGATCACAATAACATGGGTAATCCGGCGGGTTACAACATCGGCTATCATAATAAAATGTACACAAAATATCGTGTATATGCGTAAAAAAATCTTAATAAAAAACATACTGCCAAATGTGTTTTTTCTTTACTAAATTACTATGTGTAATACTATAAAAATCTACCAACCTGTTAAATTAACGGCCCTTCCTACTGATACCCACGCTTTTTCTGTAATATCCTTTCTAGAATATTCTTTTATTTTATAGTTGTATAAACAGAGATACTTCTCCACCTCCGAAACAAATTTAATATTTAATAACTGCTCCGCCATCCTGGAAATCGCTGCGACTTACTATATGTAGCGAAGATCTTGTCCGGCAGGTAGCACACGACTGGCACGATGCGAGTCGCGAGACGAATGTCGGCGATGCGACTCGTGTACGAACCTCAATGGATTTGTATGGCGGTAATCGCTTGGAGACTAAAATCGTTGAGTATCGAAGATTTGCGTAGCCTTGTGTACGAAGCCCCTTAGATGGGTACTGTTACCAAAATCGGCCATCTATGATCATGGAGGTGGAAACCTTGCCTTGGAATGTACGAGATGCGGTATTGCTAAGCAAAGCAATGATGCAATGTTGCCAAATTTGTGATGAACCTGACTTCCCATTTCGACATCATTTTATGACAAATGATCTTTTTTTTATGATCTGATCCACAGCAATGGAGATACGGATTTAAGCCGAAAATATAGATTCAGACTCAGTTGAACCCTCTTCCAGACTAAAGCAAAGACCAAACTACAATGTATTTCACAAGGTGAAACTACCAAAGACATCTGTTTGTCCTTAACTGCAGTGTATGGTCAATAAGGAGCAGGTCACTTTGTATGGAATGTGATAAAATCAGTTGCCGTAAAAAAGAGGAAATCCAGATCGCCTACGAAAGAACAAACATCAGGATCGTTAGGTCCCGCTGAAAGCAATTTGAGTTCCGCATCTCCGCAGCGTTTCCCCAAAACACGTTCTGCACAAAAAACTGCCATTTATCCGACGGTATCTACCCAGAAGAACAAATCAAATTCTCATTCGGTACCAGATCCCTTTCCGCAAAAGGCAATAACGGTATTTTTATCAAGATACACGGCTAACAACTTTTTTGATTGAGGCAACAAACGACGCTTTGCTCTCGAAAACAAGTCATTATCAATTCGGGACGCAGTGACCTTGAATCTACATTATGCTGGTCACTACTTAAATAAAGCAAGGGTAATGTCTATTTTTCCGTCTGATTTTCAGATAAGCTTCCTGTTTCCGTTGGTCCACTCCCTATATTTTAGATGCCGGTTAGTCCAGCTACAAGCTACGTTCAAAAATATAAAGAGCTCTCCATTAACTGATTGTGCGTTTCGGTGTAAAATCTTACCAATAATGTCTAAGCCGAAATTACGTATACAGGGTGGGCCATAATAAAATTCACGTTTGAGAACAATGTAAATGAAAGCAGGTTATACCTAGAAGAGTTTGCTAATTTTTATGATATAAAAGGACATTGGCAATTTACTTTTTGGAAATGATATCATCAAGAGGGCCTCCAGATCTCCGAGAACACTTCCAGATGGAACCACAAATTGTCGAACACTGGCCTGCAAGTTGCTCTTGAGATTGTCGCCATTTCGAGTCTAATGCTTTGCTTTAATTCGTTGAGGGTTTTTGGATTAGCATTGTAGACTCGGCTCTTGAGATATTCCCATAAGGAGAAATCGGGTGGTGACAAGTCAAGGCTTCGTGGAGGCCAATCAATGCCACCTCCTCTCGATATCACCTTTCCATAGGAACACGAAGTCGCGCTGTTGCCCTGTGAATTGAAACTTGGCTACTGAAAATGCATGAATGATGCAATCGAATAGTTTCATTTAAAAAATGAAAGTGAATTTTATTATGGCCTACCCTGTACAAATTACTAACTCCTTTGTTATTACAACTGCACGAAATTGAGGTGCCAAACAATAAAGAGAATGTTTCAGATAATTTAGGAAGACACTCGTAAGGTACCATTATCGATATCCAGAACTTAGAGAATTAGGAACTTCGCTCGTAGAGTTTTCAAATAAAAATAAAAACTTTGTAAAACCTAAGTTTGAATTTCTATTTGTATGCTACCGATGAAGCTAATTTAGGACGAAACACCATTATTTATCGAATACAGCTGTGCTAAGATGGAATTACCCCATAGACTACATAAAATTTCATTTCAGCAGAATTATTTTAAAAGTAAAATGGATTTTTATTTTTTACTCGAATCTTACTTCAAATATCCATTACTCAATATTTCACGAAAAGAAAAAGTATTTAGAAAATGGAATAGATAAAACTTTTTGAGAGACAAAGTTTGAATTCTATTTTTATGCTATTGACGAAACTAATTGAGGAAAAAACATCAATGTTTAGCGAATAGCGCTGCGATAACCTTCAATTACTCTCATTGAATACTTACTATAATTTTATATAGCAAACTTATTTCAAAAGCAGAACGGTTTTACGTGATTTATACCTCAAATGTCCAATATTCTGTTTTTCTTTAAAAGGAAATGCCTCAAGAAATTATCAAGAGACACATCCAAAGTAAAATCTTTTAAAAAATGTCAGTAGATGTTTCGAAAAATTCGTTGGTGTAGAATATTTCTCTTTTTTATTCTGAAAGTGTAAAATACCCCAGTTTTTAGTGGCACAGCCGCGAAAATATTATTTGACTAGCTCATATACAAAATTTGAAGCTGGTAGAGCAGCTTTATCTATGTTTACATTAATTTCGAAATTATAACTGCAACCCTGTATCTATGTCAGATCCCATATTTGCATGAAATTTTCGTTACAGAATGATCTATAGACTTACTCCTTGATGTTTTGCCTGATACTTTATTCACACCCACCCTATATACTTTTCAAGCCCAATATCTTCAGTCCACAATATCAGATTTTTCGTATAAACACCAGCTTAAGCCATCAACATACACTGACAAACAAAAAATCACGAACTATCATTTGGTTTATAGTGTAACCCGATGTACATTATAATTATGAAGACTATAAAAGTATTACAATCGGTTAAGCGCGTGTAAACAACGATTGGAATTAATTTGACAGTTCTAGTACACACGGATCAGAACAGAGGGAGCAAATAGCTGTTATTTTATTAGACACGCACTCAAATGATTCAGAATGACTGTTTAAGACACTAGCGTTCATATTAGAATACCTCAGAATAAAATAATAGTTATTATACTTGAGTACAAAAAATCTCACAAATGAGTGTATCTCACCGCAATTTCATCTAAGCATCAGCGATCACCCTTATCTACCACCCACTTATACCAACCCCCGCTTCTACCGATGAAATCCATCATCTTCTATAATTAGCGCCTATCATTACGCTGGCATTCCTTTCATCCCTCTTGACGATTCGTTATTTGGACAGGTTCGGATCACGAGGCCTCCGAAATTAAAAAGGGAAGAAAAACATCACCCACCAGTCTCACCACCGGTAATGGAACCAAGAAACAAAACAAAATGCCAGCTGAACCAATGAACAGACGGCTGACAGATACTCATGGAGATGTATAAATCATTTTACCTGTTTTTCATGGACGGACGTCTAATGGTTGCTTTAGATGAACTTTGCGTTTTTTCACGTTGGGCCTACCAGTGACGGTAAACGTACGCAACGCTCACATCGGATTGTTCATACTAAAGGAATTTTAGGAACGTTTGCAAAGAAATTGAAACAAGGCCTTCCTCCGAATAGGAGGTAACTTTTCCAATTTGCGATCAGTGGACGCGCCAGCTTCAACAACACCGACTGCATAGGCTCCGTCGTATTTTCCTTAGTCTGATACCTATGTTTGAGCAGAACTTTTCTATTTTCGCAGCTGACTACGGCCTAGTCCTTCGATCTAAATTACTACGTGCATTGAGATAGCTAATTATGATGGGAGATAAGCTCAAAAGAATAACAGCTTCTGTACCAAGTAGAAGATCTCCTTTTGCTTCTTGGGTACTCATGAAATTATCAATAAAACGCTTCTTCTACGTAAACTTTGTTTGGAACGCAACTTTTTCTAGTCGAGAAATGTACATTTTTTGGTGGGTTCCACTTGCAGGTATCTAGACTGTTCACATTTGTTTTATTAGGACGGATTGTGGGGGTATTAAGAAGGAGTAACTGAACTGAATATCGTGATGAGTCTTCATTCAAGTTTTGAACAGACCTTGTGTGTATCACCTAACTAATGCGAAAATTGAAACGGTTATTCTATATGCTATATAAGAAGAAGGTGTTTATGTTTATTATTTTTTTTATTATAGCATCCAACTACCGCGAGTATAGCTGTACCATTACCCGTTTCATCGCCATCATCTTTCATTCGCTGGAGGGTGAGAAGGCAAAAATGCGCCGTGTTTAAAAATACTATTGCCGAACAGTTAAAGTGGTAGGTAAAGCCGTATGGTAATTAGTTAGCATCGGATACAAATGCCACGAAGATCGAACTAGGTCATAAGCGGAGGCAGAGGAGAAATAAGTGATAAATAAATAGTTAACCTTCAATTATGGATGTTCTATATTTGTCATTTTGGCATACTTCCATAGACGCTGGGTAGAATGGACCGCTTTTATTTTGTGCATTCCAAATCGCCAAGGCTAACTAGATATCAAATTAATTCCGACATTTTCACAACTTAAGCTCTTTATATGTAATCAATAAAACTTATTTGTTTTCCTACACATCTAATTAAACATTTTAAGGGTGCGGAGAAATGGATAAACACGAAAACCACAAATGCGAGCGGTCGGTAAGGGAAACGCTAAGAATGCAACAGCATACCTAAGCTCTATTTCAGGAATATCCAACGGGCCAATGACAGCTAGTTATCTAGTGATACATATTTGAAAATTCCCCTTACGGGCACAGGAATTAATTCCGAGGGATCGGCGAACTCCAGGTAGACGGACCCGTATTATGTTGTGGTTCTTAGTACACTCCAAAGGCGTGTTATTGAAAATCGTCAGCTATTCATTATAAATCTGGTTCGGTCTGATGAGTATAGTGCAGATAGTTGGTTTAGTGACTA